CTCTTCACTCATCACCACCTTCCTCACCTTCATCACCTAGAAATACACAAAAACAAGTTCTTAAAAATAAACACTACTCCAGTTATTATGGCCATTTACTTCTTACGGACAGATAATCTGTTTTATCCTAACCACTTGTAAACATTACATGTTAGATATCCCTGGGCTCATGTCAGGGTCCAACACAAACATATATGAACAGCTAGGCAATCCAAAACTGGCATTCAATTAATTTTACTGGAGAACAATGCTTGCATGTCTTACTGTAACATTCCATAATAATATGAATGAGGTCTGTGCCCACCTTCATCATCACCTTCCTCTAGAACCTCTTCCCCCTCTTCTTCATCTTCTTCCACCATTACCTCATCATCATCAGCCTCTTCACCCTCTGCATCCTCCTCTTCTTCAACTTCCTCCACAACAACTACTGAATCATCACCTTCCTCTTCTTCGCTGTTAATACCGAAACAATAAATTTGTTGTATATCACATACTTAAGAAACTTTATAACTAAAATAAGAAATAAAACTCGATACTAGACTATTTATAATTTGACACTGAACAGGAACTGAACACTGTACACCTACATAAAACCATAATTATTTATGTATACAAAACACACACATCTTGCGAGCTAAAGTCCCTAGTTCTGATGTCCCACTGGATGTGGCATGTTTAGATGAAGATTGAAAGTGGCCTGGTGCTGCAGTAGCGATCTCAACGATGATGATCATTATGGACGGACCAGTATAATTATTTTTGATCCTTATTATAAATACACCGTGTTTCAAAAGTAGCTTTACAACTTCGCAGGAGAATATAAATTTATTTAAAGGACATCCGCAATATTATTAAATGCATAAATTTAGCCAAACACATCAAGTTTCATGCACATAACTGTAGTACCGAAAACCGTCACCGCGAGCGCTCCCGGACCATTACAGGCATTGTGTATCTGGACATGCTCCAACAGTTCCTCATTCCTCAACTTGACGAAGATGACCAGGAAGGACGCATTCACTTCCAGCAAGACAGTGCACCTCCTCATTACCTTGGAGAAGTGCGCGAGTACCTCAACAACCGTTTCCCAGGTCGGTGGATTGGTCGGGCTGCACCAATAGCGCGGCCACCTCATTCCCTGGATCTAACACCTTTAGATTTTTTCTTGTGGGGATTTGTTAAAGATCGAGTGTACATGCCACCCTTACCCAAATGTGGCCGAACTCCGAACTCGAATTACCGCCACAGTTGCTGAAGTGACACCGGATGTGCTACACCGCGTGTGGCAAGATATTGGCTACAGATGGGACATCTGCCGCATAACAAATGGAAGTCACACTGAACGATAAAAATCCGATGGACATAAAACTGGAAGTGTTTGACTACATTTCTATGTTCCGAAATTATATGTTTCTCCTATCAGTTCACCAATATATCTGTTCTATGTTCCTTGCCATGCTTCACCCTGTTATTACTACTCCTGAAGTTAATCTTGCTACCATGCATAACTAAAAGCATGGAGGTAATGGAAAAGATGCAACGTGAGGGTGGTAGTATACAGGAGGGGTCCTGTATCAAAGCCTGGCTGTATGCAGTTTTTAAAATTCAAATCCTTTCCTTGAAAAGGAATATGCTCTGTACTAGAATACCTCACAACAGAACTCTAGTAGTAAATACAACCATTTTCCTGGCACCTTAAACAGCCATACAGACAAAACTTCATGTGTAAACTGCAACATAAAAAATGTCCCAACATACCTGCCATCATCCTCACCCTCGACACCATTTTCAACTTCAATGTCAGGCACCAAGTAATACTGCAGTGGGTTGGGCCACATGTCATCTTTGATAACCTGTTGACAAAACATGTTCACGACATGTAAGGGCATAAGAAGGGAAACATGTCAAATATGAGTTATTACAAACATACATTAACATTGCTGTGCGGCGAATAGTAACCCTGGTGAGTCGATGCATGTTGGGTCACATGACTGCAAGACTCAGTTTTGTGATCACTGAAAATTAAATTGTTTTGTGGTTGCAAAAGTCATATATTAGCAGTGTTTTACTGCTTGGTGTGTAACAGGGATAAAGCAGTAAAACAGAGAATCGATACCAGAATTTAAAAGAATTCGAGAAATATGCCATGGACTTAAGAACTTATTCCAATGCAGACATGACTCAAACAGTCTCTGACCAACAGTTGAAAACAAGACAACTGAATACAAACAAAATTGGCACTGTGTATTCTTTGGAGTACAATGAAATTCTAAACGTGTTCTTCATGTCAAATTATGGGCACTGACATCAGCAGGGGACCAAGGGAATAACAAATGCAACTAAGAAATCTCATTTTTATTCTAGTTCACTTGCTTCTACAAAGTATTTTAGGTATCTATTAATTTTCAAAGAACAAATATTCTAAACATCAAATTTTATTAACTCCACATTATTACCTCTGCAATGTCATCTGCTGATGGATCACCATGGTCTGTAAACCAATTAAAGAATGTCTTTTGTTCCATAGCTCGTTTTCGTCCCTTTCCAACATTCTTTTCTTTGCCCTTTTTAGTTAAGTCATTTCCTTCCTTCCATCGAATGGGAGTGCTCTGAGAAGCTGGATCTCCTAAAAATACATATACATACACACACAACTGACAAACATTATCACCCACTACTATTAAAAGCATTCCTCTTAAACACTGGTAACCACCTACAATACCAGACAGCGTGTAACCCAGAAGATCACAATCAACAGACACGCTCTCCAGGAAAAGTTTATTTAACAACTCTACCAGGAGCTCAGATTATGAGCTCTTGAATAATAGGATTAACAGTAAACAATTGGAGGTGGAATTTTTTGGTGACATTACTTTAATAAAACCCAAAATTAAAAAAAGGGAATTTTCAATGACAGGATTAACGAATAATGAACCAATCCCAGGGCCAAGATCTGAATCTGGGACCTTCTGAACATAAAGCAGGAGGGCTCTATTTTAAACAAACATATAAAAACAAGATCTAGTTTTACCGTGAATTATACTATCTACCCACTGACTTACCAGAAGACCCCAGGTGGAATTCTTTGGTGAGTACATCATTTTCAAAATATGGATTCTCTTCAAAGTGGAAATTGATTCTGGAACAGAGAATTTCAATAGGTTACTGACAGACACTACCTATTTTTTGGATTGAAATCTTATGACTTTCTGGTTGTGTTAACCACATTAGATTCTGCATTTCATGATACCATCAACAAAGTTTAAGTTGCCTTTCTTAAAGGCTAAGCTACAAGAAAATTAATCATAAAAGAAACACAGTACTGTCTCGTCATTTCTTTCATGGAGATAACACGGTTTACAATGGCTAGTTCAGAACTACTGCAGATGTTTTTATATTTAAGAGAAATTACTTTAAGAACTACATACATACTGAATACTACACTGTATTTGTTCAATGTTTCATAAGACATGATTAAATATACTGAATATAAATCAACATTAAAACCTCGGCATAAAATAAACCCACTGAAAAGGCAACACAAAATAAACAAAACTAATTCCAAACTGCTAAAAATTTATTCAAACAAAACTGTGTTCAAGATACAAATAACCATTATACTTTGCTTAGACATCCACATTCACTGGAAGACAAGGTGATAGGGTAGAAGATTCACACTGATGCAAAGATCACGTGAAAGACTGATGTTGACATATGGTTTTTTATGCATATAATGTATTTACATAAATATTCATTTAAACTGTGCAGTTGTATATAAAAAACTGTAGGTTTCAAAAACTCCATGTGAAACTCATATCAAGAACAACCAGAAACAGATACTGAAATATCAGACAATGATATTCAGAACAGAATGAATAATTACTGTGTACCTTAAAGCACACACAGTTCACTCTGTTAACTCTTTAAGCCCATATAAGTTACATCTCACTTGCTTCAACAATCAGGAACTCCTTTTGTATTAATATTTATAGTTTTATATGATTCTCATAGTAAATAGGCAATTGCTTCTTTAAACAATCATTAATCAGTTGAACTTTGAAATGGTGAAGGGTAGTGTTTCCTTTGCAGTAGACACCAATCTTAAATATTATTTAGAAAATCTTCAGCTTCTGGTGTTAATGGGCAAAACGTAATCACAAGTATTGTAATTTACATTATCACTTTATTTTTGTGCTGTATTAGCAAAGCTAGAAGTGCGAGAGAAGCAGGCATTTCTTTTACTTGTCCATGATTTGTTGTAAACTGGTATTTTGATTTAAAAGCCGTGTTTGAATCTGACTACAGATAATTTTACTTACCCTGCATAACATAATTCATATCTTGTAACTGGTATCCTTAACAATGGGGGCAGCAATGACCTCTGAAATGTTGGCAAACTTCTACCACACTACATAGTACTATAACCCAGAAGATAGCTATCTTCACATCTCAATCTATCTTTTAGTTTATGAGAAAATACAGTGTGTGTGTTTGTGATGTCTATGCTCAGTAATTTTGAGCCACAACTGACAGTCCTATAATACAGTTATGTAGTCTTGTACCTTCTTTTTTTGGATATTTAACGTGGACACTTATATTACTGAAGAGTTCACGTTATTCAGAAATCTCTTTGAAAACCTTGTACATACTGGAAATAGTCCACTTATTTTGAATTTAAACAGCAAATTTCCACAATATGTTCAGTTTCACTGGTGGTGTAAGAGCCAAGGATGTTTCAGGTTAATATTACACATCACCACACAGCAATTTAAGGCACAAAACAGATGTTTCAAACTTGTGAAAAAATAATAAAGTAACAATTCACAGCACAACAGTGTCACTGCTGTGCTACGTTATCACTTGCTTAAGAGTGGACACAGTTCAGACAGCTAGTATAGAAAGACTATGCAGTGCTTTACTATTAACTTAGAGCAACAGGGCAAGCAGTATTTTATTTGTAGTTTAACAATGCTTTTACAGTAGCTCAGACTATATAGTGTCAAATGAGAGGACAGTAAATTGGAAAAGACGTGGAAGGAAGCGATTATGGCCTATTGAAAGGTACTATCCTGGGATGTCTGGAAGGACTGAGATGAACCACGAAAAACCCCAGTCAAGATATTCGGTCTCTAGGCCAAGATTTGAACATGAGACCTCCCAAATACGAAGGAGTGTTAACCACTCAACCATGACGATTTGTGTGTATGTGTATAAGTCCTTCTATGCTACATGGTGATGGCAGGTTCAATGCTATGAAACACAAAAACAATACAATGAAAATACAACTGAACAACACAAAATTAACTTACCTGTAACCAGACTTGATATCCTCAAATTCTTCAACTTCCAGTTTGGACAGGTAATGTAAGCAATCTTCTTCATCTTCTTCAAGGATTGCTGAAATCTGAGGGTGGTTTACAAACTGAATGCACATTAAAGAAAACTGTTGAAACAAAAAATGTATAGCAATAATGCTTTAAATATATACCTTAATTACCTCTGATAAACCTACTAAAATGGTAGACTAATAACCGATATATAAATATACGTCTAATGGTCATTGCAGAAACTGGTTGATTTGTAGACAGTTTGTATTCTTAAGGTGGCGACTGACTTGTAACATTTGCCTGTAATGTAACGTGTTACAAATCGAGCATTACACAAGTGAAGACAGCGAACGGAGCCGCTCGATGCGAGCTGCTCACGCTCGCGGGCGCTCCATCGTGTTGTCGGTTTTTTCGCGAATCCCTTTGAGTGTTACATTACAAGTCAGTCAGTCAGTCGAGCGGCGTCGTAACGAGCATTCACGAGTTCTTTAGATAAGAGTAGCGTATTAAATGAAACAAAGATAACACAACCTCCACGTCCGACATATTGAACGAAATGAATGGAGCACACATGAGCACAGTCGAGCCGAGCGTTCAAAACGAGCATTCGATACGCCTCACCAGTTGTGGTGTAATGTAACATGCTCGCCGCGAATGTTACATTACAAGTAAATGTTACAAGTCAGTCGCCACCTTTAAGGTACCAGCGCCAAAGTTACAGAGCATTATTCCCACACCATGTGGCTCAATACATCACTGAATCTCCCTAAGCATGAGGCCGGTGGTGGCTCACACGGTAGCAAAAGTGTTCTAAAGATTTTATATCAAGGTCGGAGTCAGTACATTTTTACCTACTCCAACTACCCTTAAAATTGTTTCTGACTCAATAGCCATGGTTTGAACATGTGTTAGTTATCTACAGGAGCTACAAATGTGAAACAAAACCAACATATTAATGTAAGCACCAGTCACAATGACGGCTTAGTGAACCCGAATGTTCATCACCAAATTAACCAAAGCCATCCATGAGTCCCTGCCCTGGGCCAGCAAAATCCACCCACCTTCAACTCCTATCTCCCATAGATCCTGCCAGATATTATCCTCCCAAATATGTCTAGCACTCCCCAATGGTCTCTTACATTCAGGCTTCCTGACCAATACCAGATGCACACCTCTTTCCCCATGTATGAGTGCCACATGCCCTGCCCATCTCATTCTTCTTGACTTGATCACCCTGACAATTCTGGGGGAGGAGAACAAATTTTTTAGCTCATCATTAGGTAGTTTTCGCCAGACCCCATTGTCTTCTCTCCTAGACCCAAACATCCTCCTCAACACCCTATTCTTAAACTCCTGCTATCTACATTCCTCCCTGAGAATGAGAGACCATGTTTCACATCCATACAAAGCAACAGGCAAAATTATTCTTCTGTAATTTTATTTAAACAATGGTAGAAAGAAATGCAACTTTCTACAACACTTCTGAATCACATGAGCAATTTATGTAATGCACTAAAATATCTGTCATGTGGCTCCCTGGAACAGGTGTAATTGTCCATTAGTAAGTTAGCCACACACCTTATTCAATTCATCATTAAATGCCAGTAGATATGAAAATTACTTGAGTAATTAATTATACCTATCGCATTAGCAATAACTTCAAAACACATCAATATATGAACTGGACGGGAACCGAATTCAAATTCGGGAGGGGTAAAGGTCATAACCTAACCTCTACAAATGATAGATGATGTATAACAATTTTCCACACAGGCCTTTGTTACGGGTACTACTGCGTTTAGGAAAGTTCTTGCCCTATTAATAAAACATATACTTAAATTTTTTTTTCATATTTGTAAATATTACGAGAAAATGTGCCTAGTGGCAGGTGGCGGGGAGTGATGGTACTCCGACTTTCATTTGTTTATGTCCGGCATTTTCACGTGCATGAAGTTTATGCTTACAACTCGATTTACATGTTACTGTACTATTACAGAACATCTGGTAATTATGCACACGCTCGAAAGTATTTGTACTGCGGTAAAACAAGTAAAGAACTACTGTAATTTACATAGTCACTTTAACAAAGCATACGGAAAACAACTTTTGTAGACAAATATGGCGGACAAAGCCAAAACACGCTCCCCCCCTAACATACATAATATTACAATTTGTAAATTCACATTTAAGCCACACAAAGGATACTGCAGTAACCCAGAAATTTGGTATCCTTTTGATAATGTCGTTCCTCTTTTCGAAATACGGCTTTCTCAATTTGTTGTATTTCTGTTCCACCTTCAGTATTTCCTCGCTTGCCTTTTCATTCAGAGCATCGATTTCGTTTTGACAAGCATCTATTTCTTCCAAAGCTTTCTGCGTTTCGGCATCATAATCTCGTCCTTCTTCTCCTTCGCCTGATGCGCTGGCTCCTTCAACTTTCTTTAACTTCTTCGGTGTTGCTCCACTCGACATTTTAGTGATATAAAATTATAATTACAGCGTACTTCACAACACCACACACACTATTCAAACTGGCCCGATGAGAGAGAAATGATCCAACACCAAGCCGATTTCATAGAATATCTATGAATGGTCAAAGAGAGATTGTAATGGCGTATCTTCAGCGAATAGTAAACGAACGCGGCTTCTGAACGACCAATAGCATTTTCTGTTATAAGACATAAATTCATCCGGGGTCTCGACTACAAAATTAACATGGCGTCCGAGAGTATGAAAAGTTCTATGTCTAGTGATCATCATGAAGAAAATAGTACATTGCCCGATGATTGTGAAGCAACTGTAGAGAATATCAATGTTTCGAAGTGCACATCAATGTTAGGGCTTTCTATGAAAGTGTTTGAAAAACGCGAATTAAATAGTTACCGTAACTTACCTGGGTTGTTAGCAACGGCGTCATCGGTTGATGAGATTGATATAAGAAACCTAGATAATGAAGATGATCTAGACAGTGGCATTAAGTCTGAAGATATAGTAAATTCAGATCACAGTAAAAGGAAAAGAGTTCATCACGATTACCGAAAGCTCTCAAATTCTGGTTATGTTGATGATGCAATGGGCAGGCGGTATTCTTCTAGCACATCAAGTGCTAGTGAAAGTGATACACCCCACAAATTGATAAAATTGAAGACAAACAGTATATCCTCTAATGATCAGATGGCATGTGATGACCATAATATTTCAAACACAATAAATGGTGGTAGCACTTTAGATGGGAAACAAGTGGGTGAGTGATTTTCTTAGGTTCACTTATGCCATTAACCAACAAATATAAACTACTAAGTTGAAACTGGTAAAGTGTGTAACCAACATATTGGTGTGAATGGTAATATGTTTTGTGAAGCAGGGTGCTGTTTATCAAGATTCATTGTCCTTCGGTTGAGTCCTAAGAAGGATCTATGGAATGTAAATAAACTTTACTCTACTCTAATTCCTAGCACATGTTTGTGCTGTATAACAAACTTGCAGCTACTAGATTCAGTAATTGGCAAGTGAAAATAGTGTTGTCAGTAACCATACTCTTGGGTTTTGGTCATTGTATGTATATTGACATTTTGTAATATATGCAGAATATAACCAAAATGTCAAAGGTCTGTATAGTAAGTATTCAGATCAGTAATTATCAGTGTTGGAGTATGTGAAAGTTTGTTATTGCCAAAATGACGACCAACAGATGACACTTGCTATATTTTAAGAAGAATGGCATCTTGTAATGTGCATTAATTGAATAATTCTACAAATTTTTGTTAATTTTTCTGTCTAGATATCAAATACATTACTCCAGATAACTCTTTAGAACAGAATAGAATAGAATGTATTATATTTCATACAGCCTTCATAGCACCAAGTCAAGCATGTGGAACACATCTTAATATAAATATAGTATCTAAATCAAATACAGTAATTAATACTATAAATACAAACATGTGTTTGTAATAACCATGTACAGAGACATCTTGTAAGAGTGCTATATTATACAGAGCAAAATAATTCTATTAAGGAAATATTTTCTTCTCAACAACTTATGTTTTGGAGGGAATTGTCCCATTAATTTATGAAACCTAAATTAAATAAATGGTCATTATTAGAATGCTTTGTCAGGACACTTTCCTTCTTTATTTTGAAATTTAACACCACCCCCGGTTTCAGTAAACTCTGAGATGGTAAATTTCAGAATGTCTGTGAAGTTTCATATAGAGATGTGAAACAATAGAAGGTTAGCTCTTGGCAGGGATCAATAAGGAAATTTACTGAACATTGTGGTTGAGTGGTTAATACTCCCAATTCTTATTCAGGATGTCCTGGGTTCAAATCTCAGTCTGGAGACTGGCTATCCTGACTGAGGTTTTTTTAAGGTTTTACTCAGACTTTTCAATCATGCCGCGATAGTGTCTTAGATTAGACCATGACCACTTCCTTCCACATCCTTTTCAATTTATTATTCAGTCATTCTCTCATTCAACACTATATAGTCTGAAAATGTTGTTAAGTAAACAAATTCAGTTTTTATTTCAAGATCATGATAAAGAATTAGGTTAGTTAGGAAGTATGTAGGAACAGACAGTGAACACATTCAGTATGAATTTCCACATGATTCAGGATATTGAACTTGGATTACATCCAAGGTAGTCTTTTCTTCTCACAATCTAAATCATTTTTTGTAATTTGTCTTTTCATAGACAGGTGTTGGTTGGTTGGTGGTCATTTTTTAAAATCACTATTAGACTGTAGGCAATGAGAAAATACAGGTTGAGTCAAAAGTACTTTTGGAACCAAAACAAAACACACCAGGGCTTGTTTTAACCATGTAAGCAACCAACACTTGTCATAGCATAAGTGGAGAGATCGAATTTTGAACACATTGCGAAATCGCAAATTAGGTGCATCGTAATAAACACTTTGTAACAGGAATGTGTGTTCGCCATTCAGTTAAAATATCTGGGTTAAGGAAGCATTTCCGACCCACGTTCATAGAAAGTTTTTTATTTTGGTTCGCATAACACCCTTAAATTTTCCAAAACATATTTTTGACTCTCTCTATATAAGCATATCCCTTCAGAATAAGATTTACTCATTGATCTTACCTACTCATCTTATTAACAAAAGAAATGAGCAAATAACAATCTAATTTATTTACTTTCCTCAAGTTTTACTGAAACATATGTACACTCATTTTAAACATTGTTTCATTCTTCTGAATTGATTCAGTTGTTTTGTCTGAAACTGTTGACAGAACAGCATAAATTCGGAGAGCCTTGACTGTATTACAGACTGATAAAAATACAGTGTATAGCCTATTATCTGTTTCTGTGTCTGTAGTATGGTAGAGATTTGCATTGTAATGATTCTCATATGAGTGTGGTATAGTGAATTTAACATATTGACTCTGGTTGCAGTGGCATATGGACCATGACCATGCATTTGGAGTGCCTTTCAATGTACTTTTGGATAACATGATTATGTTGAGCAGAATCAGATAATTTTAATAGGAAATAGCTTCCAAACTGGTGATAAAAATGAATGAGTGGAAGGTGTTTTTTGGGGTAATTTCTTACATATTTCCTGATAAATCATGCTTCAGGACTTAGTAACAAACTTTTAAAAAGAGTTTGTAAATTCATGCCTCTCCATGTGCCTGTCCTTTGTTACAAGTTTTGCTGTACAAAACTATGTTATACGTAACTAATAATTTTCATTGGACTGCTTTGCTTCAATGAAAATTTCACTGATTTCAGGTTCTTCAAAGCACCAAGGTGGAGATCATCAAAAGAAACATCACAAGAAAAAGAAACACAGGGACAGAGATAAAGAAAGGAGAACCAAAGTCTGGTCTCATGATGCAAAAAATAAGTCCGAGAGTGATCTGACTGTAAGTAAGAAATTTAGTTGCCACAAGTTCGCTCATAAAACATTTTTGTTGAGTCCCCATTGACATAGTGAGATTGTTGATTGTGTAAGGGTTCTTTGGAGTGCTTGGCAGAAAAGAGCTAGTGATCTTTGCCATGTTTTGACAATGTTGAGGATAACGCACTTGAGTCCATATTTTACCCGAGCATCCTTTTTGTTACTAATCTTTAATTGTGAAAGTGAAAGGAAGTAGTTCTTGGAGACTTGTCTACTAATTCCATGTAGTTGGTAGTTCAGCTAGTCAGTAGGTTTCCTCCATTTGTATGCTTATTACAAGTTCTTCACTGTGTGATTTTCTCAAATCTCCTGTCACTAACCCTCCCATACATTCAGTCATTTTCCTCAGCACCCTGTTTTTAGATAATATGTATTGTATATTTTTCCCTGATAAATGTCATGATGAATCTTGGATTCCAAACCTCACTTAAGTTTTCACAGTGAATGAATGTAATGAAGTCTTGGTGGGTGATTATAAATATGTCAGTATGGATGGACACAACTGATTACTTGAGAACATCGCACCTGTCTGTGTTCTGTTTCTATAATGGCAATCTCATCATTATATTGAAGAGCTAAAGGAAACTGAGGGATGGATTTTGAAGGCGTGTCATTAATCTTCTTTCAGTAGAGTGACATATTTGCGATGAGTAAAGTGAATTAAATTATGTCATGACATTATAGAATTCCATGTTAATAAGATGGCTCAAGAAATCTTTCAGTGGATGTCACCAGAAAGGAAGAAAATAGGAAGACTTGAGATTTAGATGGATGAAAGGACTCCTGAATCAGTGATTAGGAGATGACAGTGGATAGATGGAGGAGAACTGTGTTCAGGAATTGGAAGATTCCGGTGACATTAAGAAGCCAGTACATATATTTTAGATTTGGAAACATTGAGCTACAGTAGATTCCTGTTAATTGGGGCAGCTGTTTATTTGGGACAAATCTTAAAGAATAAACCTTTTTAACTCTTTACGTGGAACTTTGCATAATTGGGGCAGCCGCTTAATTGGGCCTAAGCGTTCAGTCCCGATGTGTCCAAATTAACTGAAATCCACTGTATATTCTGAAATTTCAAGTTCTCGTGGCGGTGAAGATGTCATTTGTGATCATCTTGGAGGAACATATTGCCTCCATCTTTATCCTGAAGAAGAAGGGGTGATGTGTTCCTCTGAAATGTTGTTAACTGTCGTTGAGTCTACAACAACACATAGGACCACAAATAACTGTGAGGTGTAACTAAAACTTTGATATTCACATTTGAAATCCCTTTTGTTCATCTTTCCAAATACTGTATCATCAGTCTTGTACATTTTTACTAGTTTCAGTCAGTTGGTGTATAAAAATATCTTCTTCTGGGATGTTGCATCATATGTGGTAGACATTGACCTACATTTCAGAAGAACATACTGCCTCCATCATCAGAGCCTGAAATGAAGGTAGAAAGCCTACAGTAAGACTGGACAACATCCCAGAAGACAGCCTTCATACTTGTCAACATGGCATCCTAATATCTCACTAATTTCTGTATATTTACTGCCATATAAAATGTCAAATCTCAATAATGAATCTGCTAAGTCATAAATTACTGCGTAGTTTTGTCAGAAGCGATTCTTGATGTCTACCTAATCCAGTACCATCAAACTTTGCTGTTGACCTACTTGGCAGCAATGCAGAGTGATCTAGAACAGAGATTGTAGTTTGAAGTGCATTTGAATTTACAAAAGGAGTTCTTTGCTTTATTCACTTTAAAGTGTTTTAATTTTTTGAAGTGCCTGTAGCATATAAATAGCTAAATCATCAAATTAAAATTGAATGCCATAGAAGTTAAACATTTCTCTTACTCTATACATAATTGTGCATGATTAATGTTGCATGTGTGTAAAATGGCACTAAAGTGAAAACTATTTGTATATGCACCAATATTAAGGAAAGATTCCCAACAGTGTCATGATTAAACATTGTTTCTTCACGTTAGGTACTGTGTAGTGTGAACATAGATTTTGAGTAATTTACTTTGTACAACCTTGTTTTTATTGTGTGTTTATAGTTCATTGTATTAATAGTGTGTTATCATGTCCTATTTTAGCTATCTGTTACAAGTACAATACCAGCCCACTGCCATGATGTAGAACAGTGGGAAAATGATGAACCTGATTCTGTGAGTGGATCTTCCAAAGAGACAAGCCAGGAATATACTACAGACAGTAGTATGACACTTGGTGATAGCATATGTGCTAAGGTACAACTCAGTACAGGAAATGTAAAGTTGGATACATTGCCCAGTGACAGAACTGTGCATTATGGATCTAATGTTTCTCCCAGGACCATAAAACTTTCATGTTCTGTAAAAAGAGAAACTGATGAAGATATTAGTAATGTGTGTGATAATGCAGAGACAGATTCAGTTTCAGTGAGTGGTTCATTATTTGAAGGTGATAAAAGAGTTTCTGATGAAGTTAATAGTGTGTACTGTGTGATTGACTCTAAAGATGGCTCAAATTCTAAGACTGAAGGGGGGTACAAGTCCATTGACCTGCTTGATCCTGAAAACCATTCAGTATTTCCAAAGATGGCATTTGAAGCCATTCAGAGAACAGATCTGCATGCACGGTCTAAGAGTGAAGGTGTCAGTGAATCCAAGTTACGCACTAGTCAAGATGAATTATGTGTATTACCCCAAACGAAGAATTCAGATAATCCTGAAAATCTACTATCAAATGTAAAAGAAGAAAAAGAAGATGCAAGTGTAGGGAGTCCTGGTACACCTCTTATGGATGAGCAACCTTACTTTCCCTGCATAAATGTACCTGACTGTACAGGTAACACTGTAAGGAAAAATAAATTGGAAGCAGGAGAAACTGAATCAAAGAGTGAAATTGATGACATTAAAGCTGTGAAAAATGTGATTACACAACCTTCCCTCCATTCATCCGATGTATCTGTGAGTTATGATAACAGTATTTTGAATCATCCTAATACTGATGAGAGGAGTTATACACCGCCTATGGTCACAAAAGATGACATACATTCGCATGCACAGAGTGTTCTTGAAGATAGTAAGAAGACAAGTAGAACTACTGGTAATGGTATTATAAATTCTTCGCCTTCCACTGTATCAAATTGTAGTATAGATATGGGTGCAACCAAAATTGAACATATTGAGAAAAAATTACCTGGAAGTGGAGACAGCATTTTCTTTTCAGATTCTGGAATTAATTCACAAAGTGCAGATTCTGGTATTAATTCTCAAAGTGCTGTTACTTTGACTTCAGATCCAATTATGGAGGAATCTTCTCCCAGGTCACATGACATTGGTGGAGAAGCTGCAGATGAAGTGGAAAAGGTGACTACTGTACAGACCAGGACTCAATTTACTGATGAGAGTGACGCCAGTCAGTTGAAAGAGACTGCTTGTGAAAGGAAGCATATAGATACTGATAGCCATCAAGACATTGTGTCTTGTAGTAAGGATGTGCAAAGAAGGCACAGTAGTAGTAGTGGGAGAAGTGGTTCAGGACGTAGATCAAGCAAGGATAAGTCTGATCACAGTGATAAGCACAGAGAGAGGAAGCTTGAAGGTAGTACATCAGATTCTAGATCCCGTGATAGAAGGAGTTCAGATGCAAAGGAAATTGATCGAAAAGAGAGATCCCATAGCTCGTCATCAGATAGGAAGCATCATTGCTCAAGGTGTTATAAACGTTCAAAAATAAAAAGAGCGAGTATTGGTGTTCAGTGCCGACGGGACAAGACCATTGACAAATATGTGAAGTACAGCTGTCCAGATTCGACTGTGTTTGGTGTTGGACTGAAGATTGATTATCAAACAAAACATTTTTCCCTCCCTAGACCTCTCCCACTTACCCAACCTGGTCTTGAACAGCTTAAGTATGGAAGATTCATTCGCATAGAGACTTATGCCAATGGTGGGGCCACAGTTGTGCACATGTATCAAGATGAAATTGATTGTCTTAGCAATGAGGAGATGGAAGAATTAGCACAAGAATATTTTAAGGTAAGTGTACAACATGGTATTTATTTCCTCTGAAATAATGTTGCTTGGTTCCTACTTGTTTTTTTTTAATTACAATAAAAGGAAAGTCAAGGATTAAATTAGTGTTGTCTTGCACAAATAGCATTCAGAAGAGGTCATCAGTAGACTGAGAATCAAAAGCTATTAGGCAATGTCCTACGTGAGCGATAAGAAGCGAGCTGCATAAGCAGCATGGGGTGTCATATGACATAAGGGAATCGCTTGTTGTGTCCTCAGTGAGAGACTGCAATAGAAGCACACGGTCTTTCTGCGCATGCGCCTTACTGGCCAGCGCAGCGACCTGCGCGAAAATATCAAAATATTTGATCTCGGAATCCGGCCGCTTTACTCTCTTGACTGATTCGCTGTAACCTAGGACAGCGCCATACAAACAGCCAGTTTGATATTTCCGCTTCACCCACGCAAATCGCACCGCTCGCATTTAATCGCTCACGTAGGACACTGGGTTAATGTAGCTACATATGGGAATTTAAAATGGTAGCCTGATGAAGTGGTGTAAGGTTTTTACCATTTACTTTCTGGGTAATATAATGAAGCAATAAATGTATCCCTGTCTTTTGAATATGTTCTAACTGTTATCTTACAGGATACCTGTATGCTGGGTATTTAAATTACATTAAATGAAAGGCAGTCAGAAAAAAAAATTGAATTAAAACCAAAGACCGTTTCTTCTGGTGAATTTAGATGGATGGTTAGAAGTCAAAACAAGCCAGTGATATGCTTACATTCTTTTTGTGAAATCCAAGACAGACTGGACAAAAGCTGTCTTTGTGTTTGTTTATTCAAGTCTGAAGTCCTGGTAATGGGACCTTGAAATATGGCATATGCCTCTCCTTTAGAAGAGTTTCTCTCTTATTTTATTGTCTCATATTCATACATATTCACAGGTAGTTTTTGGTGAAGATGAGAATGGGTATGCACATCATGTAATGGGAATTGTTCATGATGCTGCTGCTTATCTCCCAGACCTACTGGAACACATGGCAGAGAATTACCCATCACTCACTGTCAAGAATGGAGTGCTAGGGCGAAACTCTGACATTGAAACAACTACTATGAAGCAGTATAGGGATCAGGTAATCAGAGAATTTTGGCTTACATTGAATGGTAGATAAGGTTTTTCTATCTGATAATATACTGTTTGCTCACCAGTTCAAGAATATAAATCAAAGATGTCATGGTATAAGCACTAGATGTTTGAGGTTCTACTCGATATCCAGATTAAAGACATTTTTATTACTACTACTACTGTTTTGTTATCAGAACTTAGAAATAGATTTGGGATCACAGATTTGACGTGCCTATTTATCCCATTTATGGAGACTCCTAAAGTGTTTTTAATATGTTCCCAAAAAGTACACTTGTATTTTTTGAATATGCTGCCATAGATAATCTGGTCATGACAAATCAGATCATAACAGATTTTATAATAGCGGTAAGAGGTTAAGAAATTACCTGGAGTAGGATACGCTCGATCCTTTAGGTCACTGGACAAAATATTAATTGGCTTGGAGGAAAAGTTTCCATTTTACGTAAAAGAATAGACTTTTTTATAGGTAAGATGTTTGTTGTCAGCAGTATGATTTAGGTAGTATGGTATTCCGTGGACTTAGTTTCTGCTTTACACAGTCTGTTGAAATGTGGAATATTCGGATAAGTTACTGACAGTTTGTAGGTGTTTCTTTGGCCACATGATAGATATTGTGATGTAACATTTTACTGAAGTTCTATCTTGTGTTGAATTTTGTTTGCTAACATCAGGGAGGAATTACTGATAACACTGTTTCTGTGCAGGTATGCAAACATTATGCTAATGGGACTGTTCGATATGGACCCCTCCACCAGATTAGCTTAGTTGGAAAAGTTCATGAGGAGGTCGGTGGCTTCTTTCCAGACTTATTAACCAGACTGGAAGAAAATACTTTCCTGAAGGTGGTAAGTTGTATACATACATTTCTTCTTCATATGGACTGCCGCCTCTTACATAATTCAGTTTATGTTACGAGGCACAGTTGATGTCCCAGCTGCTTGTGTCTTGGTAGATGAATTTATGTTGGTGTTATCACTCATCACTCTTTTAAAGGAATTGAATTGAGTTATTGAAATTGGGTTGGTAATAATGGCAATAGCAGTGAAAGTTCTCTGCTTCTTGTAGGAAATCTCCTTAAAATTGAGCCAGTGATGGCTGTATTTTAATTACTGCCGTCAAATTATGTGGGATGAGTTGGAAAAAGTGTTTTTATGGTTAAGTGCAGGCAGAAGAAAGAGGTATTCTTGTGAAAGGACAGTAATTTTTGTTGGTGGTACACCTGTTTTATGGATCATTGTTATAAAATTCTGTCTTGTCCAAGTTATTTTATGATTTACATTTAGTTAGAGACCTGTACTATTCTTTGATAAAATAGCTGTTTTTTCCTGTATACACAGTCATACATTTGTACAATTTTTCCTGGAAAATTGTAGTTATATGTTATTTTATCATCACAGACTATGCCATGGGGACCACTGTCATTTGTGCAAATGGAAACACCTCAAGAATCAAATGATGGTCCTATCCTGTGGATTCGTCCTGGGGAGCAATTAGTTCCAACTGCAGATATGGCAAAATCACCAGCAAAAAGAAGAAGGTAAAATTTATTTATAATTCTCTGTATTCTTTTACTATAGGATGGGATCATAACAGAGTACATGGTTAAGAATTGTGGCAAAGTTCAAATATTTGAGAACAGTGGTTACAAATCAAAACTACATTAATGAAGAAATGGCAAGCAGGTTAAATTTGGGAAATTATTCTTCTTCTATGGCTCTCCGGTCCGTATTCGGTCCATGGCCTCCTCAATTCTTCTCTTCCATTCGGTCCTCTATTAGGTCCGTCTGTCTGAGGCTTTGATTGAGGTTTCGAAACATCTTTCTTTTTATGGTGCAAGGTTGTTAGCCTTGCGACCACCCCCAGCCTGGAGGACCAGGGTACCTGTCTTAGTGTGACCTCTCCCCCTCAACCAATTTGGCTAGGGAGGCCCTACCAGTAGCTATGCTACCGCTCTTGGGATCACTGAGATACTCAAGCCCCCCCACTACCACGACAAGGTGCGTTTGGGTAATGCCTGCTATCAATTTTCTGCTGTATAAAAGCGTAGACTGAAATATACACCACTATAGTTTTGCCTGCTTTTTTTTTGTATGTTTGTGAAATTTGGTTTCTCACAGTAAGAGCATTATGGAAATTCAGTTGCACTTACATTATTGTTTGGAAGTACTTATAACTCCAGATCAAAACTGAAGAACAAACTTACAGATAAACATTTACTAATAGAAACCTGCATTCTCACGACAAGACAGAAACATATTTAGTCTCGCTTTATTTTGAGACCAACCTACTCACTAGTATTTAATGGAGGTAATGTATTTTTCTTTGTTTTGTATGTTTCTGTCCTAATATATTATTAATATCAGTACCAGTTGCTGACATAGTCTATTTCCTGCCCACCCTGATTTAGACCTTCCTAATGGTGTATTCTAAAAAGTCTGTATGTTGTGATGTACTGTGTATTTCCTTTTTCTTCAGTATCTGATGAGAGCACATTATTATGCATTCTTTGTACAATGTGCATGAAATGAACACACATAAGGCTGGTCATGTCTGTGTGTGTGTCTGTCTGTCTGTCTCCATGTTTCAACTCAAGAACCACTGGATGGATTCGAGTGAAATTTGGTGTGGATGTTTTGCTATTTGGGATTTCCCTATAATCATACTTTTCAATTTCTATAATTGGTAATACCAACATGGTGGACAAACAAACTTCTTAGGTGGGTGTCATAAATCACATGAATGTGGGGGTTTATGTTAACCTGTAGATTCTCCTTGCTTTTGCTACTTCAGTCCTGACATTAGGAATAAACAGAATCTTACCCTCTGAGCATAGTGGATCCTTCATCCTTTTCACAGGAGTCAAATTCCTTAAAAGTCAATATGGACACTAAGAAAAAAGCACTGAAATACAGTTGTTTTGTCTTCCAGTATTGAAATTCTTTCATATAACTGTGTATATTTATCATTAACAGCAACATTGTGTTCGTGATACCAGTACCATCTTCTTTGCAGAACATATGTGAATGTATCCAAAGTGAGTAATTTTCATGAAATCCTTCTCTATTGAGGCTCGACTAATAATTTAATGTGCATTTGTTGAAATTTCAGAACTGGGATAAATGAGTTGCGCAACCTACAGTATCTTCCAAGACTGTCTGAAGCTCGTGAATATATGTTTGAAGACCGGACTAAGGCACATGCCGATCACGTTGGGCATGGTCTCGATAGAATGACAACAGCTGCTGTTGGTGAGTATGAAACTTCCGTGGATAAATAGTACTCTATTTTTCAATTTTCAGTAGGAAGCTTACTTTTATTATAGTTTTGCTACTATTTTTTCTTACCCCATTCTAGCCTACATGCTGCCATATAAATTGTCTTTACTGACCTTAGCATTAGACACCATTAATATTTCATCTTGTCTACTACTGATGTGTTTGAGAGGTAACTAGCGTCTTGATGCTTCAGTGGAAACGTATTCCTGTTACATATTTGTTTTTGTGAAATAGCTTTTGTAGCTATTAAAATTTGTGTGATGCATTCATTTTAGGCATTTTGAAAGCAGTGCATGGTACTCAATCCTATGATCACAATCGTGTCACCAAAGATGTCGTAGCATTCTATGCTGGAGATTTCCCAGATCTTGTTGAGAAGCTCCAGTTAGATCTTCATGAACCACCAACATCACAGGTAAAGATTTATAGCATTTTTTGTCAGTGAATGAACTTATTCATTTTTATATTTGAGGCAAAAAATAAATAATGTGCCCCTATTATGCAATTGAGAAACAAGTTTTTACCCAGTATTCTGAGGCCTTTCATCAGGCTTAACAAATTTTTTAATAGCCCAACATGAGTGTTTTACTTATGATGCAAATAAGGTCAAAATCTGCTCTGCTTTGGATGCCATGCTGAGGCACCATGTTTCATCTCCAGTAACATTAAAGTTAACAGGTTGTTATTTGCAGCTTCCTTTTGGGAACTCAAATTTAAGAATTAGTCTCCTTTTGGTCATATCATTTTCTGTGGTAGGAGTCTAACATCCTCGGTTACAGTGGAATGGGGGAGAATTTACCAAATATTACGCACATTGCAACATTAACGGGCCTTTTCATGAAAACTGATTTGATTCCAACATTTTCAGCCATGCATGATTTAAGTAGAAGGATTACCTGAGCTAATCTTCAGGTGTGTGTATCATCACAAAACTGATTATGACATACATGAACATGCCTTCTGACCAAACACAAGTGGAAGTTTATATTATAGCATGAAGTGTTTACGTGTCACAAAAAGTAAGACTGCCATATTTATGCTACTTTTTATCCGAGAGTGTTTGAGAGTTGGAGTAAACAGTGTCCAAGTATCTGCACTAAGGGTTGCAGACATGCATGCTAGTAATGTTACTGTTACGTATGGAAACTCTAGTGTGATTGTTAAATACTAGTTGTGTGTATTAAAATATTTCTACAGCAATAAAGAAAACAAAAATAAACGTGTAGTGGTTACTCACTGCTGAGTGCTGTCTTCGAGACACTGTCTGGTATTCAGTGTTGGCAGAACTGATCGCAGCAGCTTCATGGGTCAGTGTAGAGCGTGTGAGACATCCTAGCAGATAAAATTTTTCTCCATATTGAGCTGAAATTTTAAAGTCTGTATAAATGCAAAGTATAAATCAAATTCCACTCACATTGTATTTATTAACAATAAACAAGAATGTATTTTATTTGTTAGTTTTTTATACATTCTTCATAAGCTGAAGAGGGTTTGCAGTTTTTATATTGGTAGCATATACTTCTGTTGTATCTGACTTAACCATCCTACTGCAAACTGTTACTTCATCTCTCAGACATAGTGGAACACTGGTCTCCATAGAGGATATAAGATGAGGTAGGTTCAGTAGTTGAAGTGATAATAAACCTTTTATTAAAATATATGTCGTATAAAATTTATTGATATAAATATGTTGTTTTAGTGTGTTCAGTGGTTGGAAGATGCAAAATTAAACCAGTTACGTCGAGAGGGAATCCGGTATGCTCGTATTCAGCTCTGTGATAATGATATTTATTTCTTGCCTCGCAATATTATTCACCAGTTCCGCACTGTCTCTGCAGTAACCAGTATTGGTAAGTATTGGTTTATTTTCATACATTATGCTTACATTTTTATTACATTTCTTTAAATTTTAGGACATCCATTAGGATGGTTATGTTACAATGTTACTTACACCAGGAAACAAAATGAAGATGAGTGAGAAGAAATCAATTTTGTGTTTGACGACACAAATTCAGACAACTGGCAGTATGACAGTGTCCACTTCGAGACCTTTACACTATGTCACATTCGTCTCATTTAATTTGATGCCAGATAAGCTATGCAGTTGATAGAGTAGTTATACCATGGAAGCCAACCACATCATATCTATAAGAAATCATTGAAGGAATTTTTGCAAGAAGAATGCATTTGTTAAGTACCTTAAATTGATAATTACTTACATAAAAAATGGTTGAATTTGAAGTTATGTTCATGTTACAAAGGTCTTAGATACAATTTAGTAATTTGTTTTCCTATCCACTTTTATGTCTTAGCAATTTTTCTGTTAGAAAGTTGATATTAATGCAGTTCTGTTTTGATTTTATCCACCAACAGCATGGCATGTTCGCCTGAAACAGTACTACCCTGACACAGAAAACACATCAGACTTAAATCAATATTCACGGGCAGTTACCACTCAACATCACTACAAAGAAAAGAGAAACCTGGAGAAAGCATGTGAAACTCCTAAGAAAGATGTGAAAGATGAAAACCAAAGATGTGACAAACCAAAAAGGGAAGAGAGGAAAGACAAAGACAGAAAAAGGTTTGAAGAAAGAAAAGATGAGGACAAGCATAAGAAAGAACACAAGGAGGGAGATCGCAGTAAAGGGGAAAGTAAATCTAGAAAACGTGACCTAGATGATGCTGATGGTGAAGGGAGGGAAAAGAAACGTATGAGGGTTTTAGAAGGTAAGTCTGGTTCCAAGGAACTAGAAGTAGAACACAAAAGATATGAAGAGAACTCTTCCAAAAGGAAAGAGAAGGATGACTGTGGAAAAAAGAAAGAACCAAAGATGAAATCAGAATTTGAAGAAGAAAAGAGAAAAGAGAAGGATGAAGAGAAAGAAGAGAAGAAAACAGATGTAAGTGAAGTTGGAATCAAAGAGAAAGAGAATTCAGATAAAAAGAAAGAAGAAAAGAGGGTTAAATCAGAAAGTGGGATAAAGGAACATAAAATTAAATCAAGAGAAAAAGATGAAAAACGAAGAGATGAGAAAAAAGCAAAGATTGTAAGCATTGATGCAGAACACAAAGAAAAAATTAAAGAACATGACAGTAGTGACAGGCATAAGAAGGAGCATAAACATGATCGAGAGAAACGGTATGAGAAGACACTAAGGAAAGATATCAGTTGTAGTCCAAGTATGAAGAAGACTACTTCAGCCTCCAAGAAGAAGGATGGTAATAACTTTGATGATAACAGATCATGTGGTACACCATTAAGACAGAACTTGAATCAAGTTGAAAGTCTCAGTGTTTTGTCACCTACAATAGTTTCAGCACCAGTGGAGGACAGTGGAATTTTTCCTGATGGGTCTGGTGACTCTGTGTGTATTGCACTTAAGAAGGAAAGTGCAATGTGTGATCTCAGCCATAAAGTGTCAGGATTTTCACCTACCAAGAAAGAATTGTGTCCTGAAGAAAGTAAGCAGTTAAATATGTCCCCTGCTAAGAAGGACTGTGATAAAAGCAAGTCTTGTATTGTTGTTGTAAAAAAGGAGTCTGTACCGAAAGTGGATACATCCAAATGTCATTCACCATCTAAGGCACAGTCTTCAGTCAACTTACTAGATCAAATAATTGCGAGTATGGACACTTCTGCACCAAAAGTGAGGGAGGACCGAGATGATTTGGGACAAATGTAACTCACCCTGACACTTGCCTTTTGCACTCATAAAATGTGCACATACAGGTTGCACTTAAGAAATTGAATGCCTTTGTAAAGACTTTAGTACCTTAACAAAGAAAACAACAATGTCAGTAAAGTCTGTATTGAATAAGGATTAGGATAACCATATATTGCAAGAAATTTCACAGTAGTTTATATGTATATATGTACACAGTTGTACATTGTATAATTTTTTATAACATTCTTTGTGTACAACGGTGTGTGCCTCTGGGTATGGTTTGCAGTTGAAGTAATCCCTTAAGATGCATTGCTGAATAGAGTTTGTGTATTAAACTCGTTATTTGAGATAGAAAGTGCTTCTTCATTGTACATAAAGGCCGTGAATAAAATGATGCAAAAGGGCAGCAATACTGTATATATATTTTCATGAACAATAAAGTTATGAATTGCATTCCATTGATAGACTGGTGCTAGGGAAATAGTGTGTTTGTGTTCCAACTTGGGTGCCTTTTTGGTACCATAACTTTACATAAAGTAACAGGTTTTATTTTATCAAAATGGAGACTCACTATGCTGTCTTTTTGCATTAGAATGAAAGTTTGAATGACTGTAAAACAGAAATATGTCTTCGAAGTGAAAGACATGTTACTCAGAGTGGAATGTCACGACAAAGGATTACAGCTTTTTTATTATTGGGGCTTTCCTTGCATACTTAATTCCCTGAATGGTGCTGTTGATTACCATCTACCAACAAACCATATTGTTAAACAACAAACTGTTTAAAAAATTATAATGGCATGACATCTGATTTTACATCCCCCCCCCTTCGTCCTATTCCATTTCCTTCATGCAAGGAAAGAACTGATAGTTTGTAGATGTGTGTGGGAATCACTCGGTGATATATCACCGCAAATACTTAATTACACACATAGGCCCAGTTGGTGAAATAATGTTGCCATGAGTGTGAAAAGTTATAAGTTTAAGGTTTCAAGTTTAAACAGATGTTGACTGCTCTTTAATCTTATTTTTCCATAAACATATAGTATTTTATAACTTACATTATTGCTTGTCATTGTAATCACACGAAAAAGTCACTCTTTGCTGCTGTGTTGTAATTTTATTTATAATGATATATATTTTAAGTGGGAATGTTTATCTGCCTGCTTTAATAAGTTGGGAGTCTTCTGAAATAATATGACCTCTTATCCCCATTTTGTACAATTACATCTAAATCGCGTACATTATTATATATCATAGTGTCTGTGTTTGTTACATTTCAGTAACATGCACGTTGGATTTTAAAAATTAAGTTTACTGAATCATAACTTATTTCAAAGTGCAGAGACAATATGAGGATGTACTGATGTACAAAGTAATATAAATGATGTTTTTCTTTGATCATTGTTGCAATGATTAAAATTCTCTGTACTTAAAAACATGGAGATGTTCTTCAGATTGGAGATGCATTTGCATATTTTTTGAAGCAGTATATTACATATTTGATTTTGAGTCTGATAAGGTCCCGTTTAACCAACGTATTCACATTCTTAGGTTTCTTTGTCTCTAGAGTGGTCCAAACATTTGTGATTACATTACAGTATGTTCTTCGGATACCAAAATGATAATTTTTCAGTTGTATTACTTTTACCTAAATTGTATTTTTATTTTGTGATTTTGTTCAGTAGGCAGATTTGGCACTTCCACCCTCAAAAGAGAGTTTCATAGTATATTCTGTTAATCTGTTTACATCCTGCAGTGTTTGTTGGTACTCGGAAAACAGAGTGTAGATTGTTTGTTTTTTATTGTTATAAAAATAGGTAATAAAATAATGCACTGTAACTTGATTAATTTCTGAGTAGATGCACAATAATGTAACACTTGAATACATTGTTACTGCATTTCTCTAGTGCTGTTTACGTAACACTGATATATCCGTCTGATCTATCATTCAGTCAGCATGTCATATTTCCAGGATTGAGAAATGTTAAAAAGGAATATTGAGTACCAGAATTCATGCTTGATCTTTCATTCAAAACTCATTTATGCCTGGTTGCAAGATTGTGGCCTTACTTCATGAGCCAAGTTATATTTTGATGAGCAGTGATACTTTTGTTACTGTGATTATTTCTGTCCCTTAGAACTTCCTTAAATGTTGCTTAATTGATTGAAAGAAATACAAGTTAAGATGAAAGATGATTATAAATCGGTTTTATCAACGGTTAAATTTTGAAAGAAGTTAATATGTGATGTTGAGTTTTAATAGTGATGTTATAAATACCTGCTTATCAGTTTTGGTTTTCAAGTCACCAGTGACACAGTTGGATATTAAAAGATCACAGTAAACAGTGAAATTTTCAATCATAGAAATGAGATGTTGATTTATCATATTCACATAATTTCCTATAATTTAATACCGACTTATAATGAAGAAGTGTGTATTTTCCAGTGTTTGCTTTATCATGAATTGCTGTAACCATCTCATTAGATACATGAAAACCGCTTAATTTGAGTATTTACTTTTGAATTGTTAACAACAAAAGCATTACTTTTTTATGAAAGATTTATTAGCTTTGTGGATATTTAATGTGATAGAATGTTCATTAAATTTAGGCATCAAGTAGTGGCCCTAATTGACTCTCATAACCCAAATTATATTTTATTGACTTTTAGAAATAGATCTCCCATACTGCACCTTACCAAAACCAAAGGATTCAAAAGTTGAATGATATGAATGACTGACTGACACCCACAGGGTATATTTCATAAAGAATGTCTAAAACCATCTACTTGCTTTTGGTGATATGTTTGTTCCTGTCACCACAGTCTTATGAGGTCATGGTTAACACCTTTATTACACAGCATATTAAATTAAAAATTTGGTATCTTCAGTAGTGAGCTGAAGTCTTCCTAGTAACTTCTGATATTTTGGTATTCCATGCACCATACTAGTGCTGGTTAGTAATACTGTACACCGTTGATATGCCATGTTTGCTTTTAATTTTTGGTGATTTATTGACATAGCTTTATTTTTCAAATAGTCTTACATTAAAAATTCCAAAGTACTTATGAGCTATTAACATGAGTGAATAATAGGTCTAACGTATGGCAGTCATTGTTTGACATTTAATAATGTATACTATTTTATCACTAGTGGAGGCAGAAGATATAGGCTACAACATTAAAAATCACAAGCTTCTTGTTAACTCTGTGTAGTGTAATTGTGCCAAAGTTACTATTTTACATACTACTAATAAACTGTACTGTATGGTACATGCAATAAAATTTATTTTCAAAACTGTGGATTGTAATACTTAACACTTGATTTAGAAGTTTCATACCATTACCAACACACGATTACACACATAACTTATTCTAAAGCTAGATTTTAACAGTCTTCCTTCCCTTCAGGGATTGTTTGCCTCATCACATTTGGTCTGTATAATTACCTCATTTCAACCATATTTTTTTAGTCATGTGACATTATTTTGTCACTAACATGAGTAAATGAACGTGTACTCAGCTTGAGTCTGAAAGTTCTTGCATTTGGGGAGTATTATTCTTTGAAGATTTAATTTTATGTAAAGAATTATGAGAAAATTTTCTCCAGTTTTTGGAACATATAACAGTCCGGTGCTCTCTTCGCAGTGCATGATATTCTCTTTATCATATGATATTAAATATGAAAGTTTTTCAATATTTTGTGATCATGAACATCTTAGTGTATACAGTATGTTTATTTTAATGACATGGAATAGATATAAATTCATCATTCCAAAGTGTTATTTGATCAATAACTAAAGTTAAAATAAACTTATCTTTGCAATAACTATTACACAAGCAGTGTGGTATTTTTCTTGCATGAGAATGAAGTCCTTACAATCATGTGCATCTTGAACAGCGTTTATCTGATTATGATGATCTGGGTTATGATGCTATGTAGTCTTGTAAGTGGTTAGCAACATTTCAGAGAAACCTATTGCCATCTTACAGGTAGATGAAGGTGATAGGTTCCCCCAAAACATTGGTAACCATCTACGAGGCTACATGGCATCAAAACCCAGAAGAACGTAATACAAATTTTTTCATCATGGAGACCTCAGATCTTGCATAATATACTGTATAGTGGCATACTGAGCATTTAGGACTAAATGTTTGGCTTTCTTCAGGAAGTTATGGTTTCATTCTACAAAAATCACTTTTGAATGGCACATTTTAAAGGGTCAATTTTGAGCTGATTTTAGTGATTGATGCTGCTTTTCCTACCCAGTTCATAATTTATCCATTGTTTCTCACTGCTCTAGCTGCTTCCTCCTTCCCAATTACAAAAGCTAATTTGTTTCTACTGCTGTGTTGAGGACGGAATGGATGAATGCTCCCAGCTACCCTGAGTCATGTCTTGGACTGTGCCTTGCTTTCCACATCATCAGGCAGCAATCTCATCAGTAATATGGTCCAATCTACGTTTAAAAACATCCCCTACTATTATTAGAAGTTTTGTAAATATGTTGTTAATTTGTGAAGTACTCAGGTTTGAGTCTATGCCAGATGCATGTGCTAGTATAATGTTTCAGATACTCTCTAATAAATGGCATCCAATAATTACCTTATGTTTGTTTATGACCTACATAGTTTGATAAGATTGTGACCCCCAAAACATTGTTCATTGGATTTTCTAAAAAAAACTGGAATAAATCTTTAAATTTTATGTAATGAAATCTACATTTATAGATTTCAGAGAGTACTCGACACTTTTTCTTTTCTTCATAAAACAGGAATGCTTAATACAAATGTGGAAATAATAGAGTATCGTGTGTTTATACATTTTGTATTTCTGCTTGAGAATTTGCTAAAAAGTTTTCCTCTGACCCTATCACATCTTAGTAACAAACCTTTTTTAAAGAGAACTGGATACTTGTATTTAGTTGCTTGTCTTCTGAGAAAAATATTTATTTCATACATAGAAACAGGATCGTTATAATTTAAATGTTGTATTGGTCCTCTGTTTTAGTGAGATTAGGCCTATAAAAGTGTTCTATTAATGTTGACAAGGGCAGTGGTGTAATTCTGTTTTATAGTGAGCCAGTCCAATAGATCAAGTGACAACTATGCAGTGTGTCAAAAAATTAAAATTGCTTTGCATATAAAAATATATTATTCATAGAAAACTAGAAAGTAGAGTTTATACTGTCATTCAAGAAAATAAGATGACTGCTTCACAAATTTCATTTCATTACTTATTTTTAAAATTAGATTCAAAATTATATAACTCTTAAGCAAGTAAATGGAATCAAATATTTCTTTATATGTGTCTCAGATCAGGCATTCAGTACCATACCGTAACAACATGTACAATGCCAGAAATATCAGCTGAAGTATGAAGTGTGTTCTTAATACATTTCCCCCACACCAAGAATGAAACTAACTGGCAAAGTGGTGAACATAATTGAGTTAAAATTAATAAAGTGTTGTCCTGGTAAATACTGTGTTAAAAATCACTTGTATAAATGTATTGATAATTTTTATAATGAATACTAATAAATTTGATAAATCCTGTTCTTGTGTTGCCATTGTTTTTACTCCATTCACCATTTAGCATGTTATTCTGTTACATAAAATCATTTGATCAGTTTATAATACTTGTACTGCTGTAAAGGAGAAATTAATTTTAGTAAAGTTGACATTCTGTAGAATGCCTAAGGATTTTATGAATCACTGAGGTAAAGTATGTATATATATTTATATTTTGCATTAAATGGGCAGGCACTGGTATGGATAACCTGGATTTTCATATTCTGCCTGTGCCATATGCAAAATTGTTTTCTACAATATATACAGATTTCAGACATGCCAATTCAATCTCTGTTGTTTAATATACATTGTAAAATTTTAAACAGTTCACAAGGGACCATTGTTCCAGTCAGAAAACTCAGTGCAGCAAGTGACACCAATGCAAAATGTATTCTCTGTTTGAAAGAAGTTACAAAATGAATCTCCATTTAGTATGTAATGTACCAGTATTTTAAATTGGTTATACATGAATTAATATTGGTACGTTTTGGCTGTGTAAATATAGGAATTCTTTGTGTGAAGTATTGTGCATTGGAGCTTACTCGTGCAGTATCAGTGTTACTTTATATATTTACATTTTTTGAGTGACTGTCTGGTCTTAAGCCTTCATGAAACTGCATAAGGTTTGATGACTAAGTTTATGCATCATTTTGTACTTGAACCTGCTTCCACAGGTCACTCCAGTTATCTCAAATGAAAAATCATTGAAAGAGCATATGTTCCACATATGATAAATGACCAAAACTCATTTTGTCTGCATTAATATATATGTAGAACACACAACAGATTAAGTACAATTTGAGGTTCTAACTGCAGTGAGTATAAAGATGGCTGTTTTCTGGGTTGTAGCACCGTGTAGTGTGGTAGAACTTTACAGAGGTCCTTGCATTGGTAAACTTCTACCAGACTACACAGTGCTACAACCCAGAAGACAGCCATCTTCACACAACATTATTTTGTTATTCTTAATAGACAAATAATAGTTTCATGTTCTGCAGAACTATTAAATAGTTTCATGGGTCTGTCATACCTTTTATATGATAATTTGTTTCTGTGAGAAATTTAAATGCATCTTATGCACATGCCACAGTTTTAGATAATGCATTTATGGACCTAGATTTCTCCCCACTTAAAGTTGCAATATTCAGCAGATATTGTGGCATGAAGTGCACATTGTTTTCAAATATTGCCTATGTGCTCATTGAACAGGTTCTTATGGTACAGGAAATCACCATCTGCCTTGAATAAAGGCATCAGAACACATTTAAGATTGGGACTGTCCTTCAATGATGGCTGTTAGAAAATTTGTTAACACATTAAAAGCCTCATAAACTTGATTATTTTCTTGACATTTTACATTGTAAGCTTTTATGACAATATCCAAAAAATAATCTTGTTAATTATCATACAGATCATCAAAAGCATTCAACAGCATCTTAATTTTCCATTCAAGCGTTTAATTACAAATTGATATATTTTCCTGTTCATATTTCCCATGTGAACTTTAAAATGATAGGTGCAGTGATTTCATTATTAAATTGTTTAACTCAAGAGTTGAGCTGAGATTTGTATGTTCTGAGTGCAATAAAATATCAGTTATATCACATATATGTTTGCATCCAAATAAAGTATTTTAAGATGTAGAAATATATAGCAACACAAGTATTTTTGGATGCACATTACCATACAAAATCATGATGTGTAGCTTAAATTGTGCCAAGACAATGCAACAGGATATGCAGTTGCATAAATCTACAGCCATTGTTAATTATATATGGATTAATTTGCAACAAAATAGTATAAGTTGTGTACATGGTGAAGTACCTTTTGAAAAAAGTCAAGAATTAGGTGACAGTTCTGATTCCCATAAGGACAAAAAAATCTTGGTGTAACAACTTACTTTGTTGTGTATTCAGACGTAAATAGCTGGTTTATGTGAAATTTGCAGTGACAAGTGATCTGTGAGAATTATTTTTGGTATTACTAAAATAGAAGCTCATGTGATGCACACTGTTGTACTCTAAACTTTCAGTGAGAGAAAACTTTAAAGTAATTTGTACCAAAACTCATGACATCTTTCACTTTGTCAAGTGAAGGGGATTCAAGTGCCTTCATAAGAGGAGGGCACAAATCCATGTGTTATGTCAGTCAGTACCCAAGGTTTCCTATTTAGAAGAGTTGTTTTGAAATTACATGTTTTAGAGTAGGAATTCTATAGGGATGTTATTAAATTGTTCTGAAAATATCAAATATTGTGATATGATACATTCAGACAACATATATTGTTCAGTTAAATTTAATGTTCATTGTGGGGAATGATTATGCGACTCAAACTGAAAACTGTAACCTCACTATTGTACAACATTATCATCACATGCACCAATTGTTTAAAACTAAATTAATTAACAATTATAATTTCATGTAAACAATATTAATGTATTATTCACACATTTACAAATTATTTGTTTTAATGTATAATTCTAATACAAAACTGGTACATTCAACTTAGAAAACTGTGCATGCCTATTTTAAAAGTGGGAGCAATTGTTTTGTTAAAATTATTCATATAAGAGTGGGCTATAACCATGCTCAGTCATCATACATGAGAAATAAAAGAAAAGAGTGATATCATGTTGCAATTATTCCTTTACAGTAACATGAATTTTAAGATAAAAATTTATTAATGTTCCACCTCTTGTCTTTCTAGTCACATTTTATGCCGTCTGAATCCAGCTACTTGCTTTCCTCATGCTAATGTGTTCCAATCAAAAGTATTACATACACGTGTAATAAAGTTTTCCATTTTGTATTGTGTTTGGGAATATTGCACACACTATTTAATTTCAGGCAGTTGTGCCTCATACCTCTAGTTGACAGGCCTGACCTCTTGTCAGAGGAGATGCCCAATAAGGACAGACTGTAAATGTCAAGACTCAGACTGTAAAATGTGGTCATGAGCCCCAGAAAAGGAGCTCAACACCAAGACACATCGACTGACTGACTATCAGTTGCAATGGGACTTGGACTTCATACCTCTTTCCATGATGGCCACAAACTAAAAGGTAGTTTGGAGACCATTGTCCCATACTACTATTACTTTAAAATAAGCTTCATGTTTACTCTTTACTTACCTTAGTTTTGCAAGATGTGTGTTTAGAATGTGATTAACATTGAGTGCACTGTAATTCTAGGACAACCTTGAATTTTATGCAGTAGTATCAGATTATTTGTTTTAATCCCCTGTAAATAACTGGTCTGTATCTCAGGCTGACATAATTCCAGGAGTGTGTTTTCAGAATGTTTCCAGTTTTGTTTGTTACTTTACCCAGATTATATAGTTGGTAAACTAATGCTATGTTACGCTTTAAATTAATTACTATAATTTCATTTGGTAAAGGAAGACTGTATTTTAATTGTGGTATTTATAATGTAATTTATTATTTTAAGAATATTAAGAATTCAGTAGTTTTAAAATGATGTAATTTATTTTCCAATTGAAGTCTCAATGTTTTAGGGAGAATTTGCAATTTTTTTAATTTTATGCCCATCTTAATTTACAGATTAATATGTTACAAACTGAAATTGTTTAGTGAGAGCAAAAGTTATAAATGGGCAGTATCAATGTATTTTATGTAAAGTTGATTACCATTGAAGTTTTATCCTATTGGGCTTGTACTTAAAATTTAATTAAGTTATATCCAACTGTTCTCAATGTAGTGCCTCTTTATATAGACTGATTCAATGAATCATTGTCAAATACTTGCTACTTTAAGACACATAAGAATTTGAAGAGACCTGTTTCTGTTGATAAACATTGTTTTTGAAAGTAACAGCCCAATAAATTGTTTTACTTTAAGAGTTTGTAACATTGTGGTTTGATGGGACTGTAATTCATGACAATGTGCATTGCAGCTGTCTTAAGAAAATAACTTTAGTTTATTAATTTGAATTCAGAGTTATGTTATGTAATATGCTTTCTCTTCGGTATTTATAGTTAAAGTGTGGATATAAGAATGTATACATTATATCTGAGATTTTAGGTTCTCATGGCAGTGAAGATCTCATTTGTGGCCTCCTGTGTCCTGTGTGAAGTCTTGTTGGTAGTTACCAGTGTTTCAGAGGAACATTGGTAACTTTGTATTAGACAATGTGGCATGAGAACACAGAAGACCACTGTCAGCATGTATACATAAGTTGCACCAAAAATAAATAGTGTGCTTTTGTTTATGCCAGAAAGTTTTTGTATAGATTTTTATAGCTTTTGATTCATTCTGGATAGTACTTCATAATGTTCACTAGAATTTCAAAAACACATTAAGCTTTGAACTTCCTGCAGCATCTATAAAAGTGCATATGAAGGTGACATTATAAGAGGTGTGTTTTACCAAATCTTCTCACCTCTCTTTAAGTTGTTAAATGTTGATTAGTTTCTTGTTTGTTGCTAACATGAAATAGCTATGTTACAGAGTACCAATTTTTTTTTTGTTCATAATGAATTACAGTTGGTACTGTAATGTTATTGGTATAATAATTACTTTGATTCTAAATTTAAAGCTACAGTCATATAAATCAAACTGATCACAGGCATTGTCCTTTAAGTGCTATAATAAAAAGAACTCCCTCAAAAATTATAAGAACCACGATTAAATTCAATTTTATATAATTGGCATATACTTGTATGAGACTCCCATAATAATACTGTTTATTTTAGAAACACAAACTAAAATACTTATTTTCTTTAGAAGTTCCTCTGTTGTGTCAATATCAGCAAAATGGTTGCTACTTTGTTCTGCTCTCCTATAATGTTATATTGTTACCCATTCTGTTTAAGAGTTTTAAATATTGTAGTCCAAAGAATAATGGGGCCTATGGTGATGTGGTCCGACTGGTGCAAAGACCTGTCAAAACTAGTAGATACCAGGTGAAGTAACATTTGTTTAAATTCATTAGGTAGGACATGTCAGGTGGTTTTATTTTAGGTCACTTTATATCTTGACAAGCTATGAAGTACATAAAATTTTAAATGATTAACTTGGAAGAAACTACAGTAATTCAGAACACTGGAGTTTGATTGAAAGCAGGAAAATGCACCAGACTGGGTACAAATGTAGTTATGGTGTACTGATAGAGTTTGTATCTTATCATTGTTCCATATTTCTAATGCTGTAAACAAGATGATTTATAGATTACACATTGCTTTGATGGACAATTGCTCTTTTGTTTTATTTCATACCCTTTGGTTCTCCTGAGAAGAAACTTGTTTCTTAGAATGATGCTGCCTTGTAAATGTGAAGGCTCCTAAATTATTCTACTAATAGACTGTTATACTTGTGACAGTGCATACCCCATATGCAAGGAACAGTAGTTTCAAAGTCCACTACAAATGTTTCATTCTTCAAATCCATCTTGTGTGCTCTTTCCTCTTACACTCACCATTGGAATTACATAAAATGTAAATAACATTTCAAATCTCATCTGTAGTAAATGAAAACCTCTTCATTTTATTATACTGAAACCTTTTCTGGTTGATGGTAAAAATTCAATTCATTAAATGTTAGGCCTGGGTGGGTGGCTGCCCTCCTTGAAATCTAATGCAAAATAAAAAGACTCAGCTATGATACTACTGTACTACACAGAGGTAAGGCTCACTCTGGAGAGGCTGAGAAAATACATCTCAGAAACCTCAGGGCTACTGTACTTCAGATTCAAGTTAAGGTCCTTTGTTTATGATGATTTATACTGTTCATTAGATGACATGGCAAGAAGCATTATTACAAATAACTTTTATGTCTGGTCATGCATACCGTCAATTTATACATCATCTGCTTCAATTCCTGCTTCTATGTCACTGCACTAAGGATTTTCTCCAATGATAAATAAAACTATATATTAACCGTTTTTAATTTAGTTAATATGGTTAATGGTTTAAATGATTACCAAATATGTTTTCAGTCTTCATTCCATGACAATGTAGAATTACAATGCACAACACATACAACTCAGAAAAATGGAGTGAATGAAATGAATGCAGAAGACCAAAAGTTAAATTAATAGATGGAATCCAAGATCCAATGGCAAAGGAAGGACTGAAAGGAAGACATTGGATATAAAGAGAAGAATAGTGATTTGGGAATCAGAAGATATTGGTGACATTGAAAAACTGATATAAATTTTGGTATGAACCAAACTGCATACAAGGCAATATGTGAAGATGACTGTCTTCTGGGATATTGCACCATGTAGTCTGGTAAACTGACAAAGGAAAGTACACTATGCTATTAGGTTTGTGTACAAACACAAATATAATACATCACTTAACCCACACTTGCTTGCTTTTGGTTTCCAAACCATAATCTAAAAGCATACGAAACACTGATCAGAGAAAGTATGACTTCCTTCAAGTCTTCAATAGATATGTTTCAACAAACTGATCACAAATATTAGGCTGCCAATGCTGAGACATTGTTACAATAAAGCTATAAGAAAAACGCCAAAAAAACATACTTTTGCAAGTTTAAAAACCGCGCTCTCTCGACACGCCATCTTTTACAACAGTAACATCATGACCAACCTAGCAGCACCTATGATACTCTGCTATTGTAAAATCTATGGTGTACAACGTTCACATACTTGGCATATCATTTAATCCGAAGTTGTCTGCACTTGTATTACAAAGAATAACGTAAAATACCAAACTCCAGTAATCCATTAAATTAGTATTAATTATAACTTACTTCCAGATCTTCCACTCTCTTTCAATAAACCAATTACATTTCTTGGGCTGCCACTGTTGATACACTGTGACAATAAAACCGCCAGAAGACGTACTAATGCACGCAAAGCTTCAAAACCGCGCTCTTTCAACACGCCATCTTTAAATTAAGTTGAGCACCAACATAACCAACCTAACGGCTACATACCTACTCTTTGCTATTAGGTCTGTCTACCGCGTTCACACTCAAGTCCGAGGTTGGCTGTACTTGTTTTCAAAACCATAAACTAAAGAGCAAGAATGTGTGAGCGAAGAAATCATTTATTATGATTCATGTCCAAAGTCTTCATTAAATGTCTTTTCCAATACGCCGGTCAAAAAAAATGCACTACCAAAGTTAATTCAGTGTGACTGTAAATCCAAGAAAGAAACGCAAAAAACAATAACATACGTTTATACACGAAGCTTGAAAACCGCGCCCTCACGACACGCCATCTCTCACCGACGTCCCAGGATGACCAGCGTAACAGCGCAAAATTTAAGTAAATTAGGGAATTTATTTGTAAATAACACTGGTGTGTCGTCTGAGCCAAATCTTTTCAAGATGGTCTCTGTTGACGAATTTATATTAAAATTTTTTAAAAACCCGGTAAAATCAGTTGAAGAGGTTCCAACGGTCAAATACATGACATCCTTTCAGCTCAGAAATGATTTTATTCGATTACCACAATTCGCACGAAACTCGATTCTTTCTACAATCGAATGAATATTTAATTATCGATACATTCGACATATTCGATACAAGCATATCGATTGTCGAATGAATGTTCGATAACACCAATTAGTAGTCGACACTATCGAATAAATGATTCGAACTATCGAATATGTATTCGATTGTCGAATGATTGTTCGATAACACCTAATAATAGTCGACACTATTGAATAAATGATTAGAACTATCGAATAAGAATTCGATTGTCGAATGATACGATATATTATATTCCACTGACAGATGGCGTTGTGTTCGATAAACATTAATGATGGCGGAAGAGAGTGGTGTTGATGGTTTGTTCATGGAGGACCTGGAAGATGAAGATGGAAACAATCTGAAAATGTCTTCGCTTTTGCCGTGGGACAGATTTTCTAGTTGGATTCATTGCATATGTATTGTTACCTTTGATTTAGAACTCGGTCAAGCGCTGGAGGTAAGCACGAATTCGACCTATATCAGAGCTTTCACCTGCCTTCGACGTATATTCATTTAACATTCCGTCTCCGTATTAGCGTAAAATACCAACTTTCTTTTACATGGTAGCATATGTTTTCCAAAAATCATTTCATTTTGTTTATAATGTTTGAGTATTAATGTGTATACAAGATAGAACGCAATATATTTGACAATTTGTGCACTGTAGGGCGTCAATGCAGAGATTTGTTACTATTATCAATTAAACGATACCTGACTGAACACAGCATGGGAAGGCGCTTTTTGAAAGAATTATCAGATAGAATTTTTTATTTTTGGAATGCCATGTGTGATAATTTTTGTTTATATAATTTGCCTCATTTTCAAGAATATTGTAAATTTTAAATATTCAAAACTTTCATTTACTGATGTTAAAAGTATCATTTACTAAAAAATATAGGCTTTTTTAGTTCAGAATAAACCAGGATTCTTAACAAGATATAACATAATGTCACTACCACATGAATGAGGGCTAGTCATGCAAATGTTGGGTTATTAAATCTGCAAGTGCTGTGTACTCCACACAGTTTATTCATTCCAGATATGAGTGCAATGCTTGAAAAGTGGGGAGAGGGTTTGTCAGGCATACCTTGCAAGTCCAGGATGTCTGTTCTCTGAGTTAAGCAAGAACAGAAGGCATTTTTGTGTAGTTTTACCTCACATTTCATATGGTTGTTAAACTTTGCCTCACCCTGAGAAAAGAACATACAGTACGTGACTGTAATCTTGAGACTTGGAAGTCTCAAGTTTACAGTCGCGGACTATAGGTAGATTGAGGGCATTTGAGATGAATTTTGGATCTGTGAGAGAGGATTTAACAGTAAGATGAAGAACATTTGGTAATGAGCAACTTCATACTTTGTACTCTGAACCAAACAAATTAAGGAGGTGGGAAGATGAGAAATGTATACTTAATTTTAGTTGGTAACTCTGAAGGAAAGAGGAGGACCTAGACATAAAAAGTATAACATTAAAAATTTGTTTTCTGAAAGTAGGGTATGAGGTTGTGGAAGGGCTTTAACTGGCTATGTACAAGGTTATACAGTGGACTCTTATGGACATTGCAATGAATATGTAGGGATTTCTGGACCTTCTGTCCAACTACCAGCTTCTGAAGGAGGACTGTTCTTTATGTAGATGGTTTGTTATGTTGGAATTATTTTAGGATCTACCAGTTTTATGTACGTCACATTTGTATGTACATGTAACCATGTTTACTAGACCATTGGTTGCAAAAATGCTGCTTGGAAGAGAATGTAATTTCTTTTGTTCGTACATTTGTTGTTTTAACTTTTGTAAACAAAATATGTAGCATTCTCTTTCTGAAAATATTTCTATTGAGTAAGTGCTTTTGAATGTAAATATTCTTATGTGGTGTTTCCATTGAATATACTGGTGACTTACAAAAGTTTTGTATGCATTTTTAGATTATTTACCCTGGTCACATAAAACTATCAGAACAAGAGAAGTCAAACATATGCTACTTGGCTTTTCCGGATTCAAACTCTGGTTGTATGGGTGACACACAGTTTCATGTAAGAATAAGACAGTCACCAGGTAGAAATGGCTTGCTCCCAGAACACCAGATATATAATCAGAAATGTCCTGTGTACCTTCAAGCAGATCCTGGCTATTACTATGGATATGTTTATTTTCGACAAGTCAAGGATAAATCTCTACCACGAGGATATTTTCAGAAGGTAAGACTGCATTTTAAAGCTTTTAATTTAAACATGTTTTATGAGAATATAGAGAGTGGACATAGATGCCAATGTGAACAGCCTCTGTTTTGCATACCATAACATTTAACCAGTTTCTTTTTCCTCCTCCCTTTTCTAATGTAGAAATTAATATGAGATTTTATTTACTTTTTTGCTATTTGTATCACATTTCACATTATTAAATATCACATATGCCTAATTTATGTGACAGAACATGCTAAAATAAAGTTGGACCTAGAAATAAGTATTGTGATTATCATCACAAGACTGTAACACAGAAAATGGATTAATTCATCAGTAAACTGAACTTGTGAGCATTGTTATACACAAGGTCTGCTTGTTGCTGAAAAATTATGATTTTTATGCTGGGCCATTTTTATCTAATTTTTACTTCAGTTGCATGTGCCTAATGTGTTTATTGACCATGGCCAATTAAATGCTATGAATTTACAGGTAAAAATTTTAACATTTAAGGTGCTGAGATAATGTAATAAACATAGAAATCTTAGACTGATGTACTGTTTGAAGGGAA